TGATTAAATGGTATTGTAGTTTTGAAAAGTGGATCACAATTTGACGCAAAGGTGAAACTTGTTTAATAAACACATCACTCAAACAAAAACACCACTTCATGAAACACATCACTCAAATAAAAACATAACTTGAAATAAACACAACTTGTTAACTGAAATAAAACTCGACAATTAGGTCACCCTCATGCATTAGCGCGACGATTCGCCCTCTGTCTCCTTGTTTGATGGGTGACCGGTCCACCGCGTGTGCGGTCGTTTGCGGTCGTTTGCCATCCACGCTCATACGATGGGGAGTGGTCTTCCATTGATGCTGAGGTCGATGCAACGGTGAGAAGTCTTGGTGGGCAGACGAGGATGAACCATTGTGCCAAGTAGCCGAGGGTTTGCCGTCGTGATAAGTACTCGGTCGGGGGTCATAGTGAAAACTCGACCGGGGATCATACTGGAACCTCGGCCGGGGATCATACTAGAAACTCGGCCAGGGATCGTACTGAGTACTGGGGTCGTAGAAAGTACTCGGTCCCGCGTCGTAATGGAAACTCGACCGGGGATCGTAGTTGAAACTCGGTTGGGGATCGTACTGAGTACTCGACCCTGCATCTTGCCACACCTCCAACGGATTAGGCACTTTCCATGCCTCTATCGGCTTGATCTCGGGCACGTGAAGTCGATCCCTTGTAGCCTTGTTTGGCCTTCTATGGACTGGCGGGAGCGGGATGGAGACAACATGTGTCACGCGAGGAGTAGGCACAGGGGGAATTGGCGGGTATCTATGATGGTCACGGGCGGCACTCTCATACAGACAAGGTGACTGTTCGCTATCCTACAAATGAGCCCCACCTCCCGTCTTTCCAAAGAATCCGTAGTACGAGCGAGTGAATACGCTCGATTCCATCAACCTAGACCGCAGAAAGTAGCAAAGTTAGTCAACTAAATAGTAATGATATGCATGGCTACAAAATTGATGCTCAAACTAAATAAATGAATTAATATAACGAAATTACTTACCAAATCTCCATCTGCCGCACCTTCGGGCGTCATGTAACATGCAAATTATCTTCGATATGTTTCCATGTATGGGTCATGGTACCTCATCTGCCCACAGCTGGTGCCGTCACAATGTCCTGATCTTGCTTATTATTCCACAACTTGATCAATTCTTCGAACTCCTTGGGCCAATTAGTAGTTTCTTGCTGACCATCTTTCCCGTGGTACCCCCTCTGGCTCTCGGCGACTTCTGATGGTATGCATTGCTCGCGTCCGAATTGTTGTAAGCATCGATCCGGCAAGTGCCACTCCACTATATGGTGACAGATTAGTGGGACTCGGCTGCACCATTGTCCGGGATGCAACGGGAACTTGTGGATGTGATGCTGAATGATGCGGTCGGGATACGGATCGAACTTAAGCTACAAAAGTGCAGAAAAAATAAACCATCAATAAACATACTAAAGCAAGTTCAAAATAGAAAAGGAAGTAATTGTGTATCATATGATGGTTACCTCTGCTTCCAAAGGTGATCCAGCCTCCTACGATACACCTCCAGCTTATGCTCGACTAGGTTGTCGCATGTGGTTTCAGCAAGCCACCTATTCATATGAAAAATTACACAATATTAATACAAACTAACAATTTGTACTATAAAATACTTAATTAGTAAACAAATTGGTGAGAGTTATGAGTGGGATGGAAGATGTTACCTACAACCATAAGCTTCACCTCGATGGGGATGGTCGGGTCCCCATTCCTGTCGGGGTCTTCCTTCGGCGCAATCCATGGCAGATGCTCCCAATCCCAATATTGGACGATGAACATGACTCCATCAATCTCCTTCACCACTCTCGAACTTGCATTACAGAGGGAGCGGAAGATATGAGCTAGGAAAGTAGATGCCCAACTTAGGTTCTCCATATCATCCCAATCACCAAAGATGATCTTCAACCATGCATTGCTGATTAAACTGTTGGCTTTTTTTTGGGAAGAAAACTCCTTCGAACATGCCGAGGATGTAGACATGTGCATAAATTTCCACATCATGCTCCAAACTTTCCTCCGTGAGGGGAACACCTCCTTCCTCAGGGTCGTGCTTACGCTCGATCTCCGCTGGCAACCAAGTGATGGATACTCGGCCCTTGGACAATGGTGGATAACCATCCGCATCGTGGTCTCCCTTCTCTGACGGTACCAACCCCGTGGCGCTTTATGTGAAATACTGCCAACTGCTCATATTCGCAACAACTTTAGGTGGTGGATGAGAGTCCACACAAATAACATCGCCATCGATGTGCAAGATGACGTCGTTCCATGGGAGCACATTTGTCGTACCCCTATAGCTTACTATATGGTGTGCATCCTAGCAAAGAATTTAACTTTCACTATAAGTTTATGATTTATACATATATAAATCTATTATAAAAAACATATCAATTTCCAAGAAACATACATAATTTAAAAAACAAACATATTAAGCGTACTAAAATAATTAACTAAAATGAATACCATTTTCAAAATTTAAATAAAATTAATTCTGTACACATACACATAAAATCAAATATATTATTTTGTACTTTGTATTGATTGTTTTCAATAATTTAAAGCCATACAAGAACACTCGTAAGACTCTTAGGAGAGGTATACATCTCATTAGAAACACAACCTTTTTGGCAGAAAAAAGGGGGATCTGAGAATCGCTTAGAGCCCGATTTTCCCAGGAAATGAGAGGATCATGATGATCGCTTAAGACCCCATTTCCTTAGGCATGCATATCTTTATAAAGAGTCTAATTAAGTGACACATTTTATTGATTTAAATTATTGAAAATAATCAATACGACTAACAATTAACAAATTTATTTTACAAACCACTAAATTACGTTAACAAAATAAAAAATGACAAGTGATGATAAATAATATGTACCTTGTGGTTGTTCCAAACATCCCTTGAATGATGATTATCTTGGTCGTATAACATAGTCGGATCAATCGGTCATTGATCAAAATAATATCTTTGATTGTAGATATCAACATCCTCCCCAACCTACGATAGCATAACAACAACATTAATCAATTAGTATATAGATTAAATAAAATCATTACAACAACAACAAAATTTAGGTAAAATGATAGTCATCATAGTAAATACCCTCCTCTTCGAAAATATCGGCCATTTTTTAGGAACCAGACAGGGATTCGACTGGTTTTGAATGAAAAACCAAAGAAAAGTTTTTAATGGCAGATCGGACTTAGCCGCAACCAACAAACCACTATTTCTAAAGTTTTTGGGTGGAGAGGGGGATGGCTAGAGTGATAAACTTAGAGAGAGAGAGAGAGAGAGAGAGAGAGGAGATTGGTTTTGGTGTGAAGAAAACGAGAAGAGGGGGGTATTTATAGGGTATGAACCGCTTGGTGGGGGGCGGTTAGGTAATTTTTCTCCACCAGAAACCGTCCCCCTGCAAACGGTTTCCTTTCCCGAAGCGTAAACCGCGCCCTCAGGGAACGGTTAGAGGAGCCGAGACGCGGATCACACCCATTGCAAACGGTTAGCCGTCGGATCGCCTCCCAATCGCACAGTTTCATGGACCGCCACGTGGAGAAGCGCTTTTCCGGCTGCCCTAGCAAGAACCGCCTCTTCCCAGTGCAGTTTGTAGAAGAACAGCCGCTTTGTGGTGCGGTTTTATATTAATGGTGGTACTTTTGGAATTTTTTTGGGTTAGGTGGTAGTTTTATAATCTTTTTAAACAATGGTAGTTTGGGATTTTTCCTCTTAGTTATCTAAATCATAGACCTTAAACCCCAAAATGGTGCATGTAATTTGTTTCATATATTTTGACGAATCGTGACCGTCGATTGTTGTTTCTAATCAAAGTGTTCTTAGTGTATGAAATTTATAGAATTAAGGCTCAGATTTTAATGTTTAAGGATTATGGTGCAGTTCCACGTCCCAAACCCAAGTCAATTTGAGGTCTAGATGTCATTTTCTTACTCAAGGTATACAACACCTTTGATTTTACTCAAGGGTATAGAACCGTCCATATATATATGTGGGCCAGACGCGCGAGTATAGGGGGAGTTCTACGGTACCCAGGGTGAAATCCGGGGTACCGCATACCTTGAGTAAGAAAACGCTATCCAGAACTTGAATTGACTGATCTTTCGGACATGTTACTATACTCTAACCCTTAAAGATCAACATCTAGGTCTTAATTCTCTCATTCTTATATCCCAAGATCAATTTAATTAGAGACAATAATCGAAGATTATGATTCGTCCAAATATAGGCAAAGAAATCAATGTATCATCTTAAGGTTTTAGTTTAGGATTTAGATAATTAGAACCTAGGGTTCACTCATTAAGGGTTAGGGTATAGTATCATGCCCAAAAATTCTACTAATTCAAGGTCTAGATAGCGTTTTCATATTCAAGGTATGCGGTACCCTGGATTTCACCTGAGGTACCGTAGAAGGCACCATATATGGGTCAGACGCGTATGCTCCAGGTACTCCTAGGGAGATATATCTATATAGACCATGAATTGAACTAAGTTTGAGACATGATACTATACCATATTCTCTAATGGATAAACTCTTTCATCGTTAATTTCATATATGACCTCGAACGAGAGAGATGATTAATATAAAATCACATACAAAAGTTTGTCTCGATCGAGAGAGATGAGTAAGAATACAAAAGGAAATACGAACAACAAATCAATTTAAAGACAACAAACAAAAATATAAGAAACATGGAGAGAGATGGAATATGTAGAAAATAAATTTTATAATAAAAAAGGTAAAATGAAAATATATCAATAAAAAGTTTTCATATGTCGTCTCTTTAATTAAATTAAAGTTTAAAAGGTTGACATAAGTTACTTTTAAGAGATTGGCCTTCAATTTTGGAACAATTACCAGAAAACCCTCTCTTCATAAATAGTACACTGACAAAAAAAATTTTATATATCAACACTATAGAACTCACAGCTTAATGTTTAACAATAATTAACTGGATCTTGTTCGGGTATTATATAATGGAAGCTGCAGTGCCCCTTCTCAGTTCTCACCATCTACGCCCACATTTTACCATCTCATTCTCATACTTGCTTAATTAACAGGGTCTCGCTCGAAAATGGAGAACAGCTGCAGAAGGTCGCCATCATCTGTAGCACTGGCAATAGCGTTAGTGGCAATGATGTCGGCCGGCTTCCTCGTCGGGCAATCCACGGCGGCTTCTTTCACCATTTGCTACAGGAACTGCTTCCTTCTGTGCGCCATTACCGGTAACTCTCTCGGCTCTTGCGCCGGAGACTGCTTGAAAGACTGCATCCTCCAGCCGCCGTCGTCGTTGCCGCCGAAACCTTCTTCTGTTTCGAACATGGGAGAAGACATGAAGAAACCCGCATCCCATCGCCAAAACTTGTACTTCTGCAAGCTCGGCTGTGCATTCTCCCTCTGCTCCAACTTCAGCTCCCGCGCTACTGACCCTAGTAAGCAACCTGATTAATTAAGTTCACTCTTTAATTAGTTCATGATATTGTTATAAGTAGCTTCTAACCCAGCACAAAATGGTTTTATGTTTTGTGGTGTGGTTTTTTCATCATCAGGAGAAGAGAAAGTGGCGGCTTGTGTGGATTCTTGCTCGACCAAGTGTACCGTCCGCAGTTAATTTCTCTGACGTCGTCATTCGAATGAGTGGTTGGTTAATATTTCGAAAATTTGAAGGTTGTTGATTGTTTGGAGAGAGGTTGCATATGTTTTTTTCCAAAGAAGATGGGATAGATCTTTGAATATTTCAAGATTCTAGTTCTATGTGTTTCAGTTATCAGTTAGCTTCTGGTCTCTAGAAACTTGATATCGAACCATTATTTTTCTTGTAATGCTAAATTTACTGATATCTAGCGTTCAAAGAAAACGAAATTACGAGTAGCGCGATCTAATGAAGTTAGCATCATGGACTCTATGTGTCAACATGCTAAATGGGTTGTAGATAGGGATGATGGTTGGTGGCTTATAGATGCCAAAATATAGTTATTTAATGGGGAGAAATTAATCATCAAGTTGACAAAGAATAGGGAGAGTAAGTAAAATAACAAATGGACAATCTTCTGTAGTCCGTGAAGTAGAGAGGACAAATGTTCGGCGCACCCGTGAATACATATGCAACGACACGAGAGGAATTTGCGTTCATGTGGAGTGATTGTAAACGTGCATGTTCTACTAGAAAAAAACTAGCAGTATTGTTAAAAGTATTGTTAAAATTATAGTTTAATATCATTTCATATTGTCTATAGCTTGGGCCTTGGTAGCTAGAAGGATTTTTCGGAAAGACCATCAATATGTTACGAATGGATGAGGTAGGGATGACAATTTTAACTCGCTTCGTCGGGTATTACCCGATCTGATCTGCAATGAGGCAGGTATTACTGACTAGCAGTAGTGTGGAATGGGGTATGGTTATCTACTTCCGACCCGTCATGCCTAATTCTAAACTCATTCTATATCAATTTCTTATGATATCTATTCATATTTCTTCTATTTTGACTTTTCTTCAATTAGTTAGCTATGATCTTTCCACTAGTTATACTCAACTAAAGTGTTTACCCCTTCGTTTTATCATGAAAAGTTAAATTTTGTGTGTATTTTTTTTTTTCCAGATAACATGTAAAAGTAGGTCGACCCGCCATGCCCCGTACGCGCACATGTATTACCTGCCCCGACCCGTGCTTGGTGAAGGGTGGGTATGGGTACTGGGATACCCTCCCCGCCCCACCCGTTTGCCATCACTAGGGTGGGGGAATTTCATTGGTGATGTGATAAAAGAAAAATAAAAGCGACTCAGCAACTTATGTGGTGTTTGATCAACGGTGATTTGGCTTTTTTAACTTTGTTAGCAAAATAGACGAAAAAAATAAAAGTATGCACATTTAATTAACTTACATGATATCCAGTGTCCTATATTGACTTTGGTGGTATCCTTCACCCAATTCTCAAATTTTAATGCCATGTAGTTTATTTCTCTCGTCGATGGAACTTTAGAAGAGTTTGGCACCCAAGTTGACCCACTGATCCTTGCTTTCTTCTCGGCCATGACAATTACAAACAACAGTATCAATCACCGCCCATATAATGAACACTACAGGAAAAAGACCATTTAATCATGGGAAATCCCGTGTTTGAAAGCGTGTTTCCCGTGTTTAATAGTTTTAGTCACGGAATATTACCATAATATATACCTCCTTGTCTAATTGTAAAGGTCACGGGAAATATGTACCGTACCTAGTTATAACTATTCACGGTATAATTTCCCATGATAATTTGTACCTATTAATCACAGGGAGCCCCATGACTAATACCATATATTTTCACACAAAACCAACAAAAAAATCATTTAGAGACGGGTTATACACCTTTTAACACAGTATTTACCATGACCAATTCATTTCCTGTGACTAGATGGTAATCATTAGTCACAGTATTTGATCGGTTCTCCTATATATAGAGACTAACAATTGATCACGGTATTTGATTGGTTCTCCCATATCGAGAGACTAACAATTGGTCACAGTATTTTATTATGACAATCAATTAGTTAAACTGCCATTTTTGCTTGTATAGCATGAAACTAAAATATAACAAAAATCTATTACAATTCCAATCAATCTTATCTAAATGTTTTATCTATACTTCTACAAAATATTATTGAGTAGCTACAATATCTATCAACTACCGAATCTACATTAAGCTAATCTAGAGTTCAAGTTCCACCATCTTTCCTCTATCAATGAACTTTGGATATCAAGAATCCCATCTCGAGCAACATGCACTTCTCTATCTCTGCATGAACAACAATAGATGTGATTGACATGGGTTATGGTAATATGTTTATGTTTCTGTGTAAGTTTGTAAACCTAATTAAACAAAAATTCATAAATACTTAAGACTTCCATTAAATTACTTGTGCCATATTGAGGAGGAAACAAAACAAAGAACTTAAATTGATGACGCGTTGATCCATTTTAAATATGTCAATCCTCTCAAGAGTACAGAAAATTAGTAGCAAACTAATAAGATTCAATAGAGAGTTCAATAAGAAACTGGAATGAACCTGCAACAACCTAAAACATTTTGCATATACTATTGGGTAGTTGCTGCCACACCAATCAACTTAAAGTTACATTGAGTCTGCCATGAACAACCACAATAAAAGGATCAATATTTAATAACATCGAGAATCCCCTTAAATGAAAATTTGTTTAGCTTATCTGAAACACACAACGATTAATCAATGCACATTACATAGCGTAATTCAATATAATTGAAACTGCAACTGCGGACACAATCAAAACATGTCAAATGTAACTAAAACTACAGACACAATCAAAACATGTCAAATATAACTAAAACTGCAGACACACAATTAAAACATGTCAATAGGAGATAGAGGAGATAGCACCACTATACAACATCTTTATGGAGGTGGTGATAAGGTGAGTATCAATATTGCTAATGGAACCGCTTTAAAGTACATGAAAATAGTTTAGATAAACGTACTATTAGGACAAGGATATGGATTCAAAATACAGAACAACTAGAACTCTGGAAGGGGTAGCATGTGAGGCCTAACATAAAACAATAATTGTAATGGCAATGTCTAACGGCCAATTAGCTGAAGATGGTAAAACAAATTTAGCAGCAAAGTCCTCATCACATAATTCTGTGTATACGAGATGATTAGAGAGTCCGTTGACATTTATTGCATAGATTTAGTTCCAGGGCTGCGTAGCCCTAACCATCTCCTAAGCAACATCAGATAATGATCTACTTACATGATCCAATTTGGTGAGTGCTTCAAGTGCAGATTCACACTCATTAGAATCCAGTGTTTTGGGTGCATCACCTAAATTTACAACATGCACCTTTTTAGGCATGGAGATAGGAAGAGAACCATCTCCCAACACCTGTACAAATGAACAAAGGTGGAAAAAGACTAAAATTAGGTAACCGAAACAAATTGAAAAAGATAAGACCCCAGTTTTGGTACTTATGAATTTAACTTATGATCATTTCCAAGTATAGACGTTGCTATCATTAAAAGAACAACCTAAGCTTACTAAAGAAATCTGGTGGTCTTGTGAATACCAAGACGTTAGTTGGATAAGTACATGCTCCAAACACATTAATTTAAGTCTCTAATTGTTCCTACGACATACTAAGGGCAATGACATCAGCTGTCTTTCATCACAACAGAGACTAATAGTATAAAGCATGCACTTAGGATTCACAACAGACTACAGTCTTGGGGTAGATGAGCTAATCCACAAGCTGCACCGGCGCCCATTTACAATCTTTGTTAGAAAAGCTATTACCTTGTATGAACACTAAACAGCCACAATCCGCTTTGTCAGCAAGACTACACATCAAAGAGAGAAAGAAACAGTAAAATTCAGTTGTGACTTATGTTTTCTCTCACGTTTCAGTGGGAAATTGTCATCCTTGAATTTCAACCCATCAATTAATTCCCCACCAATACCATTCCCAACAGAGATGTCTCCACCTTGTGCCATGAACCCTTCAATGACTTGATAAAATCGCAACCCTATACAGCAAGCAAAAAAACCATGGTTCAAAAAGGCACGCTTAATCTTACGCTTAGGCACGCCTAAGCACAAGGCAATGGCAAAACGCTTCGCCTAGGTGTTTCGCGCCTAATTATATACTGGAGCACATCAATGGAGTAGGAGACATATAAGTCTCTCCTAAACATTACTAGATGGAGCTAGGAAGTCAATATTAAAGGAGAAAATTAAAATCAACTACGAAATCAATTTTCTATATCAATATTATCAATATCTCAAGAGCTTTGTGAGCTATTGAGCTATGATTCTATGAACTTGCGAGCTATGTTCTTGTCATTAAGTGTTGGGTAAGTTATCAATCATTTTAACTTAAGTGAGGAAGTGTTGTGAATTATTATTTCATTCATCATGCAGTGCGAATAGCTATTTTTGTTCCAACGCCTACGCACGCTTAGTCTACGTCTAGGCGAGCTAGGCGCTAGGCAAAGGCTCAACGCCCACCTTATGCCTAGCGCCTTTTTGAACCTTGAAAAAAACATAGCTAAAGTAAGCTCATTACATACTCCAATGAAAATTTCATATGGGGTATCATCCAAAAAACAAACAGAGAGGTGTGGAACCAAACAACTGAGACATAGCTACATACACCACAACCAAACATCCTGAAACCAGAAAGCCGACTACATATCCAACGTTACCCTCATAATTCATTAACACCTCTGAAAGGAGAGTTAACCAACTAGCTTAAAGGGAATAGTCGAAAAGCAAATCAAGAAACCATTTACAAATTTCTTGGCCAGCACCAAATAACCAACTTGAAACAAGAAGACACAATATGAACACATAAAAAACCAATAGAAAGCGATAATCCATTACAAATAGAAGCTGATATGGAACAGGGACAACGAACTTGGGAATCTTGAAATGGAGAGAGACGCCGATGTTGGGACCAACCTGGAAGTTCTAAAAAATATGAAACATCACAAGAAGTCCTGAGAATTTCTTCTTCACTTCTACTTGCAACTCAAAATCTGAGAGAATCACTATGAGTCCTCTATAATAGGAAACCACCCAAATCAAACCTCACAAAACACAGGAATTGAAACCTCAGAGAGATCCTCAAGAAAAACCGAGCTTCAACGAAAGCGGCAGGGCATAATAATGGCCTGAGAATAAAGAGAAATCAGGGAAGAATGACTACACAAACAAACTGACAAGATTAGCATACTCCAATCTTACCAGTTTAGTAGACAATCTCCGTTGGAATTCAATGTCCTCTCATCCATCGAAATCTCATCCTCTTGAAGTAGAGGCGCAGGTTCTAGGGGTTGTGAGTGAACTTTACCCAAATTTGACACAATCAATTGCTGGGCATTGGT